TACAAGGTCCATATGCCATTTACCTTAATGTCTCAATTTTTTTTTTTTTTTTATAGTCAGCCGTTGCAAATTGGGATTCCAAGTCCACATATTCCATTTGGTTATTATCTCTTAAATCTTGTTTAATTCTATACTGCCCTGCCTTTTTCTCCTCATTTCCTAGATGCAGTTTCTTGGAGTAACTCTGTTACTTGCCCTTTAGATTGTTGTATTCTCAGTCAGCTGCTTGCTTTATTGTGGTGTCATATGACACCCCGCATTGCTGATATCTAACCACATGGCTTGATCTGATTCAAGTTCAGGTGCTGTGGGGAACTTCTAGTTGCATGACATCATGAAGCACGTGCTGTCTGATTGCCCTGTTTTTGGTGATGAGTAGGTTTGGAGTTGTCTGCCTTATTACTCCATGTACAATTTATCCATCCACCTTTGACTACGGGTCTTAGTCACCATTGATGATTGTTACCTCAGTCCCTCCGTGTGTTACAGGTTGCAGAATAATGATTCTGTGCTTATATCATGCCTTTTGCATTTTTGAGTAGAATTTTGGGAAGAAAAATTCTTCCTTCTCAAGTCTTTGGTTACCATGGAATACCATTTGCATGGAGAAGGACAGAGTACATGCTTGATTCTTTCCCTCATCAGTTTTCAGAGTGTTGAGCTGGTGCCCTTGTCCTTTGATAGCTAGTAAGATGTTTTAGTGCTGGGAGTCCCCGAGTTTTCATAAACTTGACATGTGTCAATCAAGTGCAGTCCTTCTTGTCCCATCCTGGTCTGGCAAGAGCCCTTCAGGCTGGCTCCTGAGTCCTTCTTGTTGCTCTTGGTCTCAGAAATTACTCTTGCTCTCAAGTGCTACAAGAAGTACGGGATTGCTTCCTCTTCCATGTTCTTCCTCAGTCCTCCAGTCAGCCATGTTTCCAAGGTGTCCAAATTCCTTTCAGTAGAAAATAGTAGTCCTGTGTTCTTGACTTTTTGAGATCAGACTTTCTTTTCCCTTCCTAGGCCCTGTCTTTGAAAGGTCAAAGAAACCTTCGCATCCCCTCCCAGTCAAGGAATCTGTATCCCTAGGAAGTGTCTGGCAGAGGCCATACTGGGTTATAGAGCTCTACCTCTGAAACTCAGTGAGCAGTGCTGACCAGCCTGCCGATGAAGCTAAAGTGAGCACTGGGGAGGTAGAGGGGCCCCTGGGACTCACCAGCAGTATCTTAGTCGGGGCTTCTCCTGTGGGTTCTGGTCTGACTTCTCACCAGTGGAAAATTCCTGTTGAGCTTTTCTGTAAGAGTCCCTCTCCAGGAGGCCACCTCACCCCTGTGGACAAGATCTCGATCGATCTGCTTACAGGTAAGGCTTGCTTAGTGCTCGAGATTGATTGCCTCACATGTCTTTTCATTTGTAGGCGCCGAAGACAAAAGTGAAGAGAAATAAGACAGAGATGCGCTTCGACCAGCTGGTTGAACAGTACAAGCAGAAACTCTTAGGACCTTCCCAAGGAGCTCCTCTTGCAAAGAGGAGCAAATGGTTTGAGAGTTGATGAAGCCGCAGGCTGGATAAGAAGCTGGAGTGTGTTGCTGTAACACTCCCAGTTGGTCCCCCCCGCAGATCTCTGACTGAGGGGACGAGACACTTTGCGTGAGGCTCCTGAGCTCTGCACACCTGAACTGCTGTCCCTTCTCCCATGTGCAGTTCCTTAGTCACAAAAAGATCAAGAGAAAGCCTGACGCTTCTCGTGTCTGATCCAGGCATGGGCATGGAGTTGTGTGTATAGACCCATTTTATCCATTGCTTCTCCTGGGGAAACATTGTAGAAAAACATCTTTGAAGGTGGAATTTTTAAGGTGTATATTTTGATAAGCATCTTCTCTAGAGGAAATATTTTGTGGCTTTTTGAATAGCCAACCATGTCTTCATTTTTAATATATGTAAACTTATTGAATGTTTTTGGCATCCTAATTCTGATTTGGTTACATGGTCCTATAGACTGCAAGAACTAAGTGAGAACCCAAGAAAAGATTTCCAACTGAATCTCTCAGGGTGGAGACACAGGTGATAACTGAGGTCAGTGGAGCTTGGCAGAGAGCAACCCAGTGAGTGGATGACTAGAAATCCAGGTACAGTGGCCCACAGACACACACCTGGCAGGCCATACCCTACCTTTTCTGTCGTAGACCACCTGTTCTTGAGGACGGCGGTGGTGGCCATGGCAAAACAGTGGTGAGCGTAAGGCCTGGACCCCAGCTGGCCGGCCATTGCCTAGTGGGCAACCTGGAGCCAGACCCCATCTCAGGCCTTGGTTTCCTGTAGAGCTTCAAACCAGTTCATTCTAGTTCAACTAGCTGCTGAGAATTTGCATTTCACCCCTGATACCGAATCAGAATCTGCATTTAGCAAACTGTAACTATGGAGCACTGGTGGCTCAGTGGTTCAGGTGCTCGGCGGCACACTACAAGTTCAGTGGCTTGAACCCACCAGCTTACTCCATGGAGAAAGGTGAGGCCGTCTGCTCTGTAAAGATTACAGTCTTGGAAACTCGGGCCAGTTCTAACACAGGATCACTGGGAGTTGGGGATCTATAAGAATAATTAGAGTCCTGGTGTGTCACTATAGGATAAGCACTGGACTGCTATCTGCTAAGTAGCAACTCCAGTGCACTTAAAGAACAGCATAAGAATCCGGGACCTTGTTCGAATGTAGGTAGGTTGGAGTCAGTGTATCTATCTGGAGTGGAAAGGCAGACTCTCAGTAGGGGGTCAAACTGGAATGAACCAGCTAGAAGCCCTGCTTCCTGATCTGTAGAGTAAGAAGTTTGACTTGATGTTTTCACAGGTCCTTCCTGGCTCTAAATGTGTCTAATCCATTCTTACTCCCTATCTTTGGCTTCCTAAGGAGCCTTGCTGGTGCTGTAGGATAAGCGCTGGGCTGCTAATCACAAGGTCTGTAGTTCAAACCCACCAGCAGCTCCATGGGAGAAAGATGAGGCTTTCTGCTCACATTAAGATTTACAGCCTCAGAAACCTAATACAGTGTTCTGTGGGGACGACTTGATGGCACTGAGTTGGGTTTTTGGCTTGGGCCTCAGCTCTAAACGTTTCCAATTCATCCTAATTCTCTTTCCTTTGCTTCTCTACATCAGAGAAGGGGAGAAGGCATTCTTTGTGATTTTGAGGTCTCACAGAAGCTTGGAGGGATGATTGATATATGCTGATCGAGGCCCAACATGATCATGATTTCCTAGAGAAGTGGGTTGAATCTGATGAGGTGAAAATCATGAGGGACAAGTAGAATTGCTTCACTGGATCCCAAAACCCTACTGCACGGGTACTGGCGGTAAAGTTTGTGTCGATCCAGTTCTCAGCACAGCAACAGTCTGGCTGCCACCCGTGTGATAGGACGAGTGAACACGTGATGCCTCAGTGAGGGAGCCAGCCACCTCACCTGTCCATGGGACCAGATAGACAAAGGAAATGGACACCTTGTCAGTCGACACGAGGCTGGTCATGGCCATGCTGTCCTCGTCTGGCTGCCTTTTGGGAGTCTCTGGAGCTTTCCACCATGAAAGGTTGAAACAGAACACTCAGCTGAACGAGCTGAAGGAAACTGCTGCTGACTTGTCTGAGAAGGGAGTTCTTGGAATATAATAGCTGTTCCGGAGAGCCCAGAAGGGTCTTTGGAAGCAGGTGAATAAATGCACAAGGAATCAGATTTGGCTTAGTCAGAGGACGGGCTTGAGAGGACCAGTCAGAGGACAGGCTTGAGAGGGCCATGAGTCCCGTCTCTGGAGCAGTCCAAGTCTGGGTGTTGTTGAGCTCATGGTTTTATCCTGGGGATTTCGGTACCTGGGATTAGGCTATAGGTAAGGTTTACCAGCTCGTTAACACTTGGCCCCACCTAGTCCCCCAGGGCCCCTGTCTAGAGAATACCTGACCATCATTCTCTGTGCATTGAAATGGCCTAGCTGAAAACCTGCCAGTGGGTTCTCACATTGACATCTCAGCTCCTTCCCCACAACAGGCAGCACCCTGGCTTCCTCAGCCTTGCCACTTTCCAGTCACTCTGCCTGCATTCACTTGTGCCACATAAAACTTCTTTCAGTTTCCCTCCTCAGAACCCTCTTGTCTGTTCTCTGCCTGGAAAACTCTTCCCTGGGAACTGCGGCAGCTCATCTTGGGCTCCTGTTGCCCGGTTTCTTTTCCTGTACACACAGTACCAACTAACGAGTCGCATTTGGGATCGAGTACATGTTTGTTCATTGAAAAAGTAGAGAAAAAGGAGAAGCACTTCCTTGGGAAACCATTGAATGTTCAGAAATGCCCTAGGGTGGTTTAGAGATGCAAGAAAGACCACAAAATATTTAAGCCTTCTTTGGGAGAGAACTAGAGGGCAGGACTGCGTCTACAGTCCCTTTGAGAGGAAGAATGTGACCTGGGGAGTCTCAACATTCCTGCCACTGCCTGTACAATGGGAGGGAGTCGGAGACGTCACCAAGGATGGCTACAACCTGCCCGCTGCCACTTGCTCTCTTTTCCCTTGGCCAACTCTGTTCACCAGATTCTCCGCCCACCCCTATTCTCTACAGATACATTTAACATTCCCACCATTGACGTTCCGGATGGAGAACAGTTCAAGAGTTAATGTGCATTCAGATCTCTTTACCAGATTCTCTTAGAGTAGATAGGTCTCTGGCAGCTTTAGCAAGCAGCCCAGGATGTTAAAACAGCATTCGGTTACTTGGAAAGTTGTCCACTTCTTTAAAAGTATTATAAGGACAAATTGTCTTCTTTCTCAACAGCCCGATTCTGGATGTGGCATCCTCCTCTGGGACACCTTACTGTGGGGTCTTCAGTGATAGAACAGGAGTTGTGTTCACTTCAGAGCCTCCTCCTGTTCCATGAAATGGGGTTTTCTGAATGAACAATTTGAGGTACACACTGCTGGGTTAAAAAGCAACAATAAAAGATGTCTTTGTTAACATCCAATACTGAAGGCATTTTCCTGTTAGATTGCATGGTAGCCTGGCTCAGAGAGCGTCCTCTAAATAAAATCTCCAATTTTGTGCTGGCTGCGTCTCTGCTTTTCTTGGCTGCTTGGTCATTGCGAAGAACCTGCTGGGATCCAGATGTGCAGCTCCATCTAGAGTCAGTGGCAGGTTTACATGTCATCTGCCTGAACTGAAAACCCAAGCACTGCCACTGACTGGGTTCCACCTCCTGGGGCTCCTGGAGAACAGAGTTCCCAAGGCTCGTCTTGCTCCTGTAAAGTGACTGGGGGTTTAAATCACTGATCTTGGGTTAACAGCCTAATGCTTAACCCACTGTGCCACCAGGGCTTCGTGTTACAAAGTTGTTAAGTGCTATCAAGTCAATTCTGACCCATAGTGACTCTATAGGGTTTCCTAGGACCAACTGGTGAGCTTGAACCACTGACCTGGCGATTCAAACTGACTTTGCAGTCCAGCGCATTAACCCATAGTGCCACACCTGGAAAGGCCTGGGAATTAATCTATCAAAATACTCTCAAAAGCCCTTTGGTATGTTTTTGCTTTGAGAAGAAGCTTCCCAACTAAAAGTTCAGAGCCCAGAAGCTCAGGGTTCCAGAAAGCCCATTCTCATCATGGATTGGGCCTTCAGTTCTGGAAGTTGAAAGTCAACTGTCCTGCTGTGTGTGCTGACCATCTGGAGCCTGCAGTCTTAGCTCCTTAGCTGACCAAGTAGTTCTAGGAGTGACTGACAGGCACTGTTAATTTTATCAAATAAAGTAGTAGCTCTGTCCAGGAGACATGGAAAGTTTCTGAAACTTTGAAGACCCGCATGGCAATGCCACATCGCCAGGTGTGTGTACTTCAGCTTGTCTTGGTGATGCTCAGCTCCTGTTACCTTTGACTTAGCTGTATCTGGCTCTGAGGGGCAGGACAAGGTGGTGTTCTCTCTGGCAAAGACTTTGCCCAAGGATTATCCATTTGGAAGATATCCACTTGTGTTGCTCTTTTATTGTTCTTTCATTTTTGTCTTGGTACGTCTTTCTCGCCAGTGTTCTTTGCAGAGTTAGAACCCTATTACTTAGGGTGTCAGGGCTCAGACGTGGGGTGACTTATAAGTACAGTCTGCAGTCACTCAGGCTGCTGATTCTGAACTGGGTAGCGTGATAGCTATCAGTTGCCAGGGTACATGAAGTTGGCTCACCCTCACCATGACACCACCTAGCAGTGCTCTGGAGAGCAAATTCTGCTTCCTCGAAAGCCCAGCCCCCTGCCCAGCAAGCAGAACAATCCAGTGATTCCAGGATGTTAAGTTGTTGGTGAGAGGAGTGGCCCAGGGCAGGCAGTGGGCTCTAGAGGGCAGGCATTCCCCTTGAAGCAAGCATGGCGGGGAGTACCAGCTCACGTGAGCCAGTTTCCAGGAACTTTGCAAGCTGATTGTTAAAGCTACAATACAAGTGAAGGTCAAAAAATATTGCTACAAAATCGTAGAAACCTTTATTAAATGGAATTATCAACATGGGAAGCTATTGGATTTCAGCATAGCCAACATGTAGGCC